AATCTCGTCCATCAAAATGCATTCTACAAAGCCCATTTAGTAGAAGGAATTTTAGAATTAGGAAGCTCCCCAAACAGGGCCATTGTGTTTAAACATGCTTATGTGAAATAAATTTGTGATTTGTATACTTAAATTGCTAGAAAAATGTGGAATGAAAGCATTAGTTGTGTATTTTAGTAATTTATTTGTAAAAGCATGTGAGAACTTTATGGTTGAATTTATGAAATAAAGCATGAAGCATTTATGCATCCATTGGGAAAGAAAAAGGAAAAAAAAATGTTTTAAAATAAATGAAATTGTTTTTGGGAAAATATTTTCAAAGGTGTTTGTGAAAAACCGAACTCCTAGGAGGCGCCTAGTGGTCTGTGTTGTTAGTATAGTCTAGAATGGAGTATGGTTGAGCTAACTAGGCCAGATACGACGCCTTGGAGGTGCCTTGTGGTCGTGGATAATTAGTCAACCCTCCTTTCGTGACGCCTTGGAGGTGTCTTGGGTCGGATTACACTAACGGTTTGGAAGTTGAAACGGAAATGTTTCAGAAATGGGGAGCGACATTTGCATAACATTGCACTTCATGACATTGTGGGAAATTTGTGACTGGTTGACATTTGCTACATACTTGTTGTTGTGGTTGAGAATATGTATTCCCCATGGTATGACCCCATTTTTTTTTTATCCATTCTTTGTGTGGAATTCATGGGGATATAAGAGGTGTGTCTTAGACACTTCCTACTGAGCAGTTGGCTCACCCCAATTTATTATTAACATTTTTTCAAGATATGGAAGGGAAGTGGCGGATGATGCTCCTCCACAGGTTTTGGCTGGTTAATGGACTGTTTTGACATATTTTATAACTATGATCCCATTATTATTATTATGTATCGACATAGGAAAGGACGATAGTGTCCTTAGTTGACCTCGGGTTTGGATAAGGACCCGGTTAGCGATTCGAACCCTCGGGTTCGGGTCGTTACAAGCTATTTGAACTATATATCATATCTGCTCATGTAGGAGGGAATAATACTACTTGTAAAGTAGTAGTTTTTGAAGAATATTTTTCAAAACAAATTACTCTACTACTAAGGTAGACTTCTTAGATAAGTGTGTATTAAAGATATAAGCTACTAGAATTGATAGCTAACAAACTTAACTTCAAGCTAGCAGTAATAGCTGAGAAGTGGGTGCTCATCATAACCTAATAGTGAAATATGAGAAGAGTGTACTTAATCTAAGCTAGTAATGATAGTTAAGAACTCACTTTTAAATAGTAATGATAGTTGAGAAGTGAGTGCTCACTCTGTGATGATAGTATCCAAAGCTTACATAATAAGATAATTGTTTGCTTAAATGATTGAATTATGTGATGTGCGACACATGAAAGGTTATGACATGTTAATATGACTGACTTAACATGAATCTAAACATGAATAACTCAATTCATAAATACAAGAGATGTAGAAGCAAATATTAATTAAAAGCCCATTATAATTAATATATCTAGTATTAATTCACAGTAACGTCAGCAACATATTATAAGAACAAGCTAGAGATAAAGTGAATACATATACACTAGAGACTGTTATATATGCTTGTTGAGAAGCGAATATAGAATCTTGGAAAGGTAGATGAGGTGAAATATTTAATATATGGCATTTCAAGAGTTGGAAAACCATAAGAAATATATCATATATAAAATTTCAGGATTATCCCAAAGTTGTGGGGGGATATTGTCCATAGATGATATTTGCTATGAGTTACCTCACCAAATAAGAAACACTTATAAATGTAGGGTTCTTAATCCTAAGAGATTTTGGATAGAACCAAAAATCATTTATAATATTATAACAATAGCGCATGTTGTTTCCTATGAGAAAAATATTATGGAACAACTAGAAGAGTTTTTTTTCCAGTTGGAGTGCTGAGTTATTTGTTCCAGTTGAAAAGTCAAGTGTGCAAGCTTATAAGTCCTTGAATGGATTAAAGCTACTACTGATACAATGACATAAATGTGATGCATAAGTCATTGTATGCCTTAAAAAATTAATGATATACTAATTAGTATATTTGATATGAAAGATTTAACATCTGATAACATAATATATTCTTAATAGAGTGAGATTGAGATAATAACAAAAGCCTAGCTAACTTTTGTAGATGTAAATCTCAAATATAAATACTAGTCAAAGTATATCATTGGTTGAGATTGCAAGGCACCTTAATAACTGTGTTTAATTGTACATTTTCAATTCAGGATCGGATCACTGAAAAACAATAAATTAGGATACACCCTAAATCCAATATTGCATAGGTCGAGGTATCTAACTAAATTGGAGGTGTAATAGTGATGCAATCTGGACGTAGGATATTACAGATTTCAAATCCAAGAGTGGATATGTCTTTTATATTAAAGGTGTAGTTGTATGTTCTTAGTATAACTCAAAGTTAGAAACTTTGAATAAATCAAATAGGAAAGTCAATAGACTTCACCTAGAAGACATTTCAAAGTAAGTCTACACATATGCCACTAAAGAAAAGGATATTGCAAACAATAAGCAATTTTAGGGCACAAAGTATACAGTTGCTCTCACCTGGAGAAATCTCTGCAGAGTGTAATATTTTTAAACACAACTTTGTGGCCACATATAAAATTGAGGGTTGTATTAGAGAGTAATTGTACAGATCATTAAGGGGAATGGGGTTTAAAGACAAAAGCTAACGAGTCATCTTAATGGAAACCCAACCTAGTTGACCGGAGATCCCAAGATCTAGGTTCAAAGGGACAACAGAAATTCTAAGTAACTCACCAGAAGGACTGGGAAGATATAAATCTTCTGCCCATTTCTATGATTAGACAGTGCTACCTACAACGAGGATTAGGATAAGTTATGCTTTTAATGACTCTTATACTTTGAAAATTCAAGTAGGGTATGGTAGGATACTCTTAATAAGAAGTCACCCATATGAATGTAAAATGGGGCCGCTTCTATGAGAACTATAAAGGTTAAGTTTTCTGGAGCACTCATTGAATACCAGGAGTTGTTCAGGACTAAAATGAACACAACAATGAGAACCAACTTTGTGAGGAAAGGTTTGTGTGTTTGTTATTGTCTTGGTTAGCACAAACGGCTGAACAGTTCAAGACATCGCGTTCACTAGTTAGCCAGTAAATCCAATAGCAATACACTAGGGAAGGTTCAAAGCTAAAAGCTACCTATCCTGATGCAGTAACTTTCTGACTATACTCTCTCTAGTGTATGCATGATCATCTTTTGCATTTTATGCAAATTTTCATTCATGTGGGGGATTGTTGGAAACGGCAGCATTAAAAACATAAACTTTGGATGAGATTTGGAATAAATTCCGCTAATAATTTTTTGCGGATCTCTTGACGAGCGCGTTTCTCTCCGCAAGGAGTTAAATGTGGTATATTTACTTTCTCAAATCCGTTTCATGGTGAATGAGAAATTAGCTCCAAAGTGTTGTATTTTGACAAGCCTAAATGGGTATGCAAAATGTAGGAAGTGTTTGTCCCACATGGAAAAAATGTTGAAACCAATTGAAATTTAAATAAGTCAAATTTGTGCTTGAGCCTAATTGTAAAGTTCAATTATTCTTTTTACTAAATGAAATCTTGGATTAGGCCTTTAATTTTGAACTGGGCTTATTTAAATGGGTGGTTGGTTTTCGAATTTAAATTAAAAGTTAGTTTTTTATTTTTTTTTTCTAAAGGGTTGCATCTATTTCTAAAGGGTTGTATCTGTTTTTCAAAGAGTTACATCTGTTTCTAAAGGGTTGCAACTCAAAACCAACAGACATAATTATTCATGTCATTGCAACATATTGGAGTGGATGTGTTTATTAGTGAACAGACACCATGTGAATCATTGCAACCAATTGGAGTGGATGTGTCCAGTGTGAAGAGACACATATATATGGTTGTGTTCAATGATGAAGAGACACATGCACCCGAAAAGGCACCTTGTTGCCTATAAATACCCCATTTGGATTATTCGCAAATCATTCATTTTCATTTTCTTCTATCTCCCTCTCTAGACTTGAACCCAACCAAAGTGGGTTCAAACCATAAGTTATGTGGCTCGAACCACTTAGACGATAATCCAATTTCATCGAGCCATATTAAGATTGGTCCGAACCATTTGGTTCGGATTGCACCCAATTCAGCATTTATATTGTATAGATGCATTTTTGAGTTAGAAAAAAGTATTATACGGAGAAGGTTCGCCGTATCCACGAGTTTGTAGTGCTGCTATTGGTGAATGTAAACTGTTGTATCATGGGAGATAGACGCCATTGAGTCCGTTAGCACCATAGCGGGGCAAATCTGTCTTAAGAACATAGTATTCAATACTAAACTCGGTCCAGGTTCTTTATTTATTGTTATTATTTTATTATTTTATTTTACATATTTAATTAAATATAGAGTTGCATTAATGATTTCTTAGCATATTGTTTTATTATCTCATGACATATTAGTATAAGGTTTGTTATATCTTAAATGTCACATGAAGCATATATTTACCAACAAGAGCTTCACGCATATACGAGAAGGGAATGATTGTTAGGTGCCAATTTATTATATACTTTTTCTTTATGGTGATAAGGTTGTGCTATCATTTTTTTTATTAGTCAGCATATCAAGTTTGAAAATAAAAGATTGTTCAACTTAAAAGGTCAATTACTTTTTTTCTTGAGGGTGTTATTTTTAGTTCAGGGGATTTATTATAATCCGGTCATAATTAAGAAGGGTTTAATGCACTTAACCCTTAAAGATATTAACTTTTCTTTCCTTTCCTTCCATTGCTTTAGTGTTTCCTTTCAAACCCTTCCATTTCAAACCCTTCCATTCCCGCGACCACTTTATACCAAACACAACCTTTTATTTTTTTCCATTTCCTTTCTTTTCTTTTACCCCATTTCCATTGTACCAAACTGAGCCTTTCTTTAGAAAGGGCAAACCTAAAAGACACTTTCAAGAAAAATCGTTCAAAAATATAACTAAGATAAAAAATATAATAGATTATACATTCATCTCCTGTTAAATACTTAAAAATAGGCAAAAGTGCCAAAAAAAACCAAAAAAAAAAAAAAAAACACACTCTACTATATTTATGATAAACAATTTTGTGTACTATCTTGGGTTCTAAATCAATCTATTTATACAAAACGTTGCAAAAATGATCTTCTCGATCATCGAATCACATTTTCCGGCTTCTGTTGATTGCACCTATGTATTTTCAAATAATATTGAAATTATCCTTTTGAATGACTATTATACGCCGACAAAAAAGAGTGCCACTCTCTCAAAGTCTTAAGGCAAAAGCATTGTATTTAGGCAATCAACCATAATCGCAGCAGTTCACACCTTCGCAGGTTCAATGGCAGCAGGAGGAGCAACGCCACCAGTAGTTGGCCTAAAAGGAGTAACAAAACCCATTATTTCAAGGTAAACAAGTATATTCGACTGTTAAGAACAAGCAGAAAACGAGAATATCCATATATGTATATTAAAATTATATAATAGACATACATATATATATATGTATACAGAATAAAGAAACTTACAGCCCAACAAAAACTTTGAAAGAATCATAGATACCCCACTGCACTCCAGTAAGGGTTCCAATCATCACTATACGAAGAGGAAGGCCACGGGTGAACAAACCCCACAAGCCTAGCTGCTTCACAGCCTGTAACATGCACATACAAATTAGTATAAAAACAAACATATCGACTCTAAAGAAAGAAAATAGAAATTACATATTAAAGTATGGGCATCTTTAACTCACATCACCAACAGTTGCCCCCTTGGCATTGTTGAGGAAAGAGACCAGATTATCGGCAGGATGTGATACGATCGCACAGAATATACCAGCCACGTATCCACCAGCAAAGCTCACCCCAAGCTGCAAGCCATTGCTGCACTGCTCTTTCGGAGTTGGGATAGCATGCTTGTAGAGCATCTCCACAATGGTCTCAAAAGACGCAAACTTCATCATCGTATCTGTCAAATATCCATTTTTATCATGAGAAGGCATCCTCAGAAGGGGGTTATCAGGTGTAATTCTTCCAATGAAAAAAATCAGTGACATAAAATTAGATAGAAGGCAAAGAAACAAAAAGCCCAGCCACTCACTCAAATCCTTACTATACCTGTCTCTTGTGCACCAAAATTTAGACAAACAATCATGCTCCAATTAATTATTAAATACTAAACGATATTAGATCACATCAACAAGCTACTTATATAGATCTCACTTATTTTAAATGCCAATCTTTGACAATTAAAGTCCATGCAAAGACTAGGGAACAAACGGATTTGAAAATTAATAAAAACCTCTAGACTCTACTCATATCAACCATGATTTTCAGTTGAGAGAATAGCAGAATGCATGGACACCGCAATTGCCAGTATATTGTATGTTCAACAGATTACACAGCGAAGTAAAGGGGAATCTGAGACACAAAAAGAACATTGTTTCTCATTCTCCACAATTTCAAAAACATATATGGAACATTAGCAGGTGAACAAAAATAAAATGATGCAATATGCAGATAAGGACCTTTACAGAAAGGCAATATAGTTCAACTTGGGTGTAGCTAGAGAATCAAACCAACAGGATGATTTTCTACACATGCATACAAATACATACACACAACTAGCATCCAAACTACAAGTGGGAGATGTGTAAGAACTTGCACTACCATGGATTGAAATTAGATTCCAGAAGACCTAGTTTCAGGTTGTATAAACTTTAAAAAAAAATGATAAGCATGTATATAAACAGTTAAGGACAAGAAATAAAGAAGTTATTGAACTTTTTCTGCCCCAAGAAGCACAAAACAAAGGTGATAAAAAGATTCCAAATCTAAAGGAATACTCACTTGGTAAACTCGAAGTCAACTTGGAATAATGTGCTTGTATAAAACGTAGTTCAACATGGCAATGGGATTACTTGAAATGTAAGAAAATTAATACCACCTTTTTAACTAATACAAGAGAAGATGCACCCATCAAACAACAGAGAGAGAACATAAAGCAGAAGTTAACCAAATATAAGATAAAAATGCACACGAAAAGAACTCTCTCTCTCTCTCTCTCTCTCTCTCTCTCTCTCTCTCTGCTGTTCATATTACTATTCAGTAGTCTAGGTACCCAAATTCATATGGACCCAGCAACAATAACGACCATTACCACTGTTGACTGACTCTAAATGAGCAAACCCCAAATATATATCCACGCATGGAGTATATACATGTGTATCATGTATGATATGTCAAAAAGAGAGTATCTAATTTATTTTTTGCAATTTCATTCTGGTTAGTTTTTATGCAAATTGAATAAATAGGAAAAAATTAGCTGAGGTGTGATATAAATTGGACCCTATATATATGTACACATACTAATTAATTGTGATTAACAAACACCATCTCTCTCTAATTAATCTAACAGCACCCATCACTCTCTTTTTTGACAAATTTTGACTTCCGAAATAACTACAATGAAAAACACAAATTTGATTCATTGCTTGAAGTATGTAATTGAGTCAAATTTATATGTATAATATATACATATAAAATATATATAAAGAGAAATAATATGTATATGGGAGAGAGAAGAATAGAAGATAGAAGCTATATAGAGAGAGATCGGTTGTTACGGAGGTATGAGAGGGAGATAAGATAAAAGAAGAGGATAGAAGCTAGGGACTAGTAATAAAAGTCTGGAGGTCATTTTTGTCATTTAGGCAAGAGCGTCAACATGATAAATTAACTGGTAAGGTTTAACGTTATTCGTTCAATTAACTATGACAGGGGTGTCAGAGTGGTTTTTTTTTTTTCAAATGTTTAATCCAAGGTTAATAAACCCAAACCTCAGGGGAGGTCAGGGTAATTTACCCTTCATTTGTTTTAATTTTATTTTTTATTTTTATTTTGTGTGTGTGTGTGGGGTGGGTGGGGGAATGGGAGATACCTTCCACTCTAAATCATTTATAAATAGTTACCACAAATTCATCACCATGATTTGAACAGCGTTAACCAGAAAACTACTTTGCAGGAAATGATTAATTAACAGGTCAACAGTATAGAGAATGAATGATAAGCTAGTGCAAAGAATGGACAAATTAAATACGCTTCTATTTAGACAATCCCAAACAAGGTTAGGAAGAATAAATCTCATCCAAAAACTAAGAAAGCATTAAAATTGAGTAGAACAAATCAATAAAAACAAAAGAGTAACTGACTAAATATATCACTCTACACTCTACAACTTAGATATAAAATGCAATCATGGAAATATGTCAGCTTACATGGAATTTGCCGGCCCCAAAGTGGAACAATTCCCTTGTAAAGCCTGTCAAAGTAAGATAAAAATATATTTATACTTCCAAAATGAAGAGAAATCAAACGTAACAAGATAATTAGAAACCTAAGTTGTTTTATATGAGAATCGTACCCAAGAGCACCTTCAGACTTGATAAACTTTGGAAGACCATCAGACAAACCTCTGGCAAACCCAGGCTGGGTCTGAACACGAACCTTCACTGCCTCAAAGGGGCAGAGAGCAATATCAGCAATTACTTCAGCAGATGCAGATCCAGCGAGGTAAATCAATGTTTTGTATTTGGTAGCATATTCTGGACCAGCAATGTCAGAGTAGTACTTTTTGAAGAATTCATAGAATCCATACTTGCAAGCACCCTGTGCGCTATAACCAAGCAAGGTTGGCACCCAACCCCTAAAGAAGCCTTTAAATCCCTGCTCCTTGAGCAAAATACCAAAACCAGAAGAAATGCTCTTGTACTTTGCAGGATCAATCTGAAAATTTGACAACAGCAATATCACTTTAATTGCTTCAACAATGAATAAGTAACGGAAAATTTTTGAAAAACCGAATGGTTACAATCTTTGAAGATTTTCACTGTTATTTGGGTTGATACCAAGATAATTTGCAATGGCTACATTTATGCTGACAAAATTAAATACTTGTATGTCATATGAAAAAACAACATAGAATATGTATATATGTCATGTAAGTTCGTGTGTGTGCGTGTGTGTGTAAAGCAGAAGGGAAATGTGTGTGTGTGTGTAAAGCAGAGGGGAAATCCAATTTCCACTCAAGAAACAAATCGTGGAAATAAATATAAAATTGAAAACTACAATGATGAAAAATAATAATAAAAACAGATACCAAAAGTGAGTTAGAAAGGTAAATAAGAAACTAAGATCAAACTTCAAATGTACATAATAGTCAAAAATGCATTGTTTGAAAGATAAATATAATGGTATATAAGAAATCCTATAATAAGAGAGCACAAGACTTATAAACGTGATATTTAACAAAACTGAGAATGTGTACTGCTAACATTGCAACATCAATATTCAAAGCCAAACCGAGTGATGCAATATTTGACGCAGCTCTAAATTCATTTTCTTAAACCCTCTAAAGAAATACATATGCATAGAGTTATATAGCAATTAGTGATATAAAATGTATATACAATTACAAATATAACAATAAAAAATTCACATCATCCAATAGAGAACTACATCACATAGCAAACAGTGTCATATATTATACAGAAGTATTTAAAAATCAACTCGTGAATCCCTATACAACTTATTAGCAAAAGATCAATAAGTACCACAGATCTAGAACACATAACCGATCTTCAACTACAAGAGTTCATGAATTTCACATTAAATATCAAATTAATCAAACAAATCACCTAACAGTAACAATGCACAACCATACATACATATATATTTATATGTAGAGAGAGAGGGAGAGAAGAAGAAGTGGAAATGGACCTGCATATTGCACTTGACCATATCGAGAGGAGTGACGGACATGTGAGTGGGACCACAGGCCAAAGTACCACCAAAGGTACAGGCGGCGTAGAACTCCGGCGAGTACATGGTCATCTTACCGGGCTCGCTCGGAGCTGGAATCAAGAAACTCTTCCTCGATGAAGAGGACGGTGATGGTGAAACGGACGACGAGGATGAAGAATGCAACACAGGGTTCCGATTCGTGGTCAGATTGTCCAAATCGATGAGACTCTTTGAAGCTGACAATGAAGGAGTATAAAGGAAGGTTGGGATGAGAGATCTGCGAGATGGATCTGACAACGCCATTGGAGGTGATTTCTAAAGTAACAGACTGTTTCTCTCTCTAGATTGCAGAGGATATTTGATGAGAGAGAAAGGACGGAGTAGTGCGAAAGGGAAAAGCTCGCCACTCCCACTACAGCGGATCGGAAATGGCTGCGTTTTGGAAGGTAAAATTGCTCATTCGCGCAGCTTTATATGATATTACTCTACTATATTGCCCCCATGTCCTCTCCAAATTACAAGCGTTTACCATTTATTGCCATTCACCATTTCCTTTTTCTTTTTCCCACATTCAACTTTTCATCGACTCCGCTCTACTTGCTTTAAAAAACAACATAAACAAAATAAATAAAAACTACTTTAACGGTATTAGTGCAATCTATTTTATTACACATAATGGTATAATTGATTTTTAAATATCACACATACACAATTACTTTAACGGTATTAGTGCAATCTATTTTAAAAATTGTAATTTAATATTTTTTATATAAAATTCAAGTGAAGTGTAAATAAAGAAAAGTGAAGGGTAATTATTATTTTTCTTTTTTCTTTTTCTTTTTCTCTCTCTCATTTTTTTTTTTTGGTTTAATTAGACTTGATTGGTAAATTGCATAAATAAAAAAAAAAATTAAGGTTCTATTTAGTGTTGTTTTTCGTGTAACTGTTTAAAAAAAACACTAATATCTGCATTTTGTTATTTTACTATCAATCATGTTTGGTAATGCAAAAATATTATACATAAAACAAAGGACAACAAAACAAAACACATTTTGAATTAAAGGATAGTGAACTTACAAAATAATTATTTAAAGAAAAATTCTCTCAAAGGATAATGAACTTACAAAATACTAATTTTTTTAAAAAAATATCTCTCTTTTAATATGCATGTAATATTAAAGGCAGGTAAAAAAAAATTTCATTTTTATTTTTTGGTATTTGATAAAGGTTTATGTTATTGTTGAGGTCGAGTCCATCGGGTGGGACGTGTAAAATAACTTATCAAAAATTGATGAATAAGTTATTTTTATTAGATTTTAATATATATTTTTCGTAAATATTTTACAACAACCAAACATCAAAAAATACTCAAATAAACGGAGGAGTCAATGAATATACAGAAATAAACATGTTTTATAGTCTTAAGAGGCATACAAGTCTTTTGAAATAGAACATTACAAAAACAAATGGTGGATAAATTAACACATAAATAATAATCAAATAGACATTAAATTAAGTCTAATATTCTAAGCTCCAATTACTTTGGGGTCAATTTTAGAAAGAAAAAAAATATATTTGTTCAATGCATGTGGTACGAGGATTGCATGTGTCCCTAAATAAATTATAGAGGGTTCTAAAAAGCTTGACATCACAATCGTGGACAAAAAAAAAAATTCCTGAATTTCATCTTCTACTATTTGCTTGCATTTTATTCAATCAATTAAGTCTATAAATCTTATTTTATAAGAATAACTGTAAAATTTAAAAATGCGCTGAGATGGCATGCCTGTGATTTCTTGCCCACTGGAATGGCAATTTACAAAAGCGTTGGACCGCTTGCTATTGTAAGCGGGTACGTAATATTCATAGGAAAATATTTTAACCAATGAAACTGTCGGTTCTCTCACGGCACGGACCTATGCGATCCCTCCAGGAAGGCTCCAACTTTGATTTTTCTTCGGTCAACGACTCGCAATGTTGTGTTTATTAATTTTGTTTATTTTTTATAAGCATTTTTGTTTATTGGAGTGTCATTTAAAGAAAGGGCAAACCTAAAACAACTAAAGTGTATTTCTTGTGACTACATCATAGTGATAGAATCAGAAATATATTTCAGTAAAAATCGTTATACTAAGATAAAAAATAAAATAGATTATACTGTATCTCCTATTAAATACTTAAATAGGTAAAAGTGAAAAAAAAAAAAAAAAAAAAAACCTTTGAAAAATAATTTCCTAAATTATCTCGGGTTGTAAATCAATTCATCTATACAAAATGTTACAAAAAGGATCCTGCAGATTACCCGACCACATTTTCTGACTTGTGTTGATTAACGCATCTGTGTATTTTTAAGTAATACCCAAATTATCCTTTTGAATGACAATTATACCCATGACAAGAGTGCAAAAAACCCCATGAATTATAAAGGAAGCAAAAAATAATCCCTGAACTATCTCGGGTTGCAAATTAAACCCTGAACTATACAATTTATATTTGTTATTATTTTAAATTATTATTGTTATTATTACCACCACCACTGCTGCTGCTGCTACTTCTACTACTATTATTATTATTAACCCATACACTTTTAAAAAGTGATCATATTATCCCAATATTTGTACCGACCCATTAACTGGGTTATGAAATGATAAATTTAACCTTACTATTTAATGTTAAATTAATTTTTTTTTAAATTACAAAATACCCTTTAAAATTACAAAAATTATGTTTAAGATTGGTGAAGAAGACGATTAAAGGGTATTTTTGTAATTTTAAAAAATAATTTTTAATTTTTAATTTAACATTAAATAGTAAGGTTAAATTTGTCATTTCATAGCCCGGTTAAGACCGGATGCAAATATTGAGGCAATGTGATTACTTTTTAAAAGTGTAGGGGTTTTCTGAAACAAGTTGGAGTTTTATAATCAAAATTTGAAAGTAGATAGGGTTTTATGATTTTAACCCTTATTATTATTATTATTATTATTAACATTATTAGTTATTATTATTCTTATTGTTAATTATAAGGGGTTTTAAAAGTAATTCACATATCTTGCAAGTAAGCAAATTATTTTTGTTATTTTATTATTATTATTGTTATTATTATTATTATTGTTGTTGTTGCTACTACTACTATAACTCTTATTATAATTATTACTAATATTATTAGTAGTTTTTATTTATTTATTTATTTATTTTAACAAGGTAAGAAGGATTATAAGTTAGATTAGTACATGTAGAGAGTCGAAACCCGGCACTTCAAAACCCACTGGGCTATCGAGGTATCTGCTAATATTATCATTATTATTATTAGGCAAATTTTTTTTTAAAAAAAACTGTTGCCCAAGTATAAACTCTAGAGGGGGGGTGAATAGAGTCTAAGCAAACTAAGGTCAATTTTTCAATATTGATTTACCAACTATAGTTAAATTCAACTTCTTTAACAAATATTAAATGATGTAATCTGAATTTTAAGCTTCAATTGTCAACATTTATGAAGAGGCATATCAAGACATACATGAAGCAATAAATATAAGAGATAGAGATAGAAGTTGCAAACGTGTACTTAGTGATTTTAGCGAGGTTCGAAAACTCCTACTCCTCGGCTCAAGACCCCTCTTGAGACTTCTCAATTCACTATGACTTCTCCTTACGGGTGGAGAGCAAACCTTTTACAAGAAACTCTTCCTTACTTCTAAGTGCTAAGAGAAACACTTTCTCTTAGACTTTCTTGGGCCACATCAGCCCTTACAAGATTTGAACAAGATTGATGAAGTACTAAGTGATCTCTTTTAGATCTAAAGTACAAGATTCAGCTCACTCTAGAGTATGTATGAATAACTTGAAACTCAATACTCTTTGATGATATATAGTAGGTATGATGATGAACAAGGGTTGTATGATTGCAGAGATGTATATCTTAATTTAATGCTAATTATTTAATGAAGTTCATAAGTCCTTATATAGACTTCCAGACATGTCTGATAAGAGTTATAGCCGTTGGACAAGCACTTCAAGAAAAATGCCCGTTTGAATTTTGTAAAACGCAGCTTCGGTCGACCGAAATGAAACATCCTTGTGTTTCGGTCGTCCGAAATGGTTTTAAGATTGAACATCATCCTCTCAGTACTCTTGGTTCTATAGACCGAAGTAAAACCCTTTTCTATTTCGGTCGACCGAAATGGTTTCATCATTCTTAGCATCTTTGTTTCGGTAGACCGAAGTAAAACTCACAGTTATTTCGGTCGACCGAAATAGTTTTGAGATTGGTCCATTCTCAGTATCTTTGTTTCGGTAGACCAATTCATTAAGCCCTTTCATTTCGGTAGACTGAAATGGACCTTCATTTTCAGGAAATGTTTAGATGATGTTTTACATTTTGGTCCTTTGTTCCTTGGATACTGTGAATGAAATGATATGCATGGTTTTAGAAAATTTGAGCTTCAAGATGTTCATATGTACTTTAACAAGGTTTCCTAAAACCCTCACCTCCTAGCTAACCCCATTTTGATGAGATGTTGAAGACTTTACTTTGACTCTTGATTCCTTAGTCCTTTTCTCATGCCTTGGGTTGCATCTTCAATTTTGCTCTTCTATTACAATGTCTTGTTTGGTGAAAGCTTTGATCTATAATTTCACTCAAGAAGACATTAGTGAACATAGAACATCATTAATGAATTATGATCATCAAAAGCCTTAGATTCAAGGTCAACAGAAACCCTAAACTATTGGTTAGTTGCAAGATGGCCCTGAATAGTATTATTACATTTCATATTTTATAACTTTTATATAAATTAATTAGTGGGGGTATTTTAGTAATTTTAACCCTCTGGGCATCGAAAAATGTGGTCTGGTGATCAGGAGAGTACTTTATGTAACGTTTTGTATAGATGAGGGATTGATTTGCAATCTGAAATAGTCCAGGGGTTATTTTTCACTTTTATGATAGTACAAGAATTTTTATTTGTATTATTTATTTATTTTTATTTTTTTGCACTTTTGCCTACTTAAATAACATGATGTCCTCTATAGTTTAAAAAATAACATTGTCTCCCCTATTGTGTTGATTTTCACCTGAATGTAAAATGAGAATTATATATATGTATTATTGTTATCATTTATCATTATAATATATGAATAAAATGTTTTTTCTAACATTCTAAGGATAAAATTAAGTTTTAAGTAAATTTTAATATGACATCAGTGGACATCTCTAATGGACTTTGTAACAGTAGAGATCAATGGTACTCCGACCAAAACTACTTATTTTTTAAAGGGTTAATTTCACCTACACCCTTTGACATTTGCCTATATTTCACATACACCCCCTCTATGTTTCATAATTCCACCTACACCCTCTATCAGTAACCACCGTCTAGTTTACTAACGAAAATGTGTGATTTTACAGTTTCACCCTCGAATTATATATTAAAATTTATAACTAAAAGGAAAAG